CACACACACACACACACACACACACACACACACACACACACACACACACACGCATGTATATGATTATTTGAGCCAGTATGTACAACAGCCGCACGATGCATACAAACGTACACAAATAGCTCCATAATGGCAAGGTCAAACAGCATGTGTGTGTACACACCAATCTGCGTGTACACGCCTTTGTTTGTGTGTGTGTGTTTGTGCGTGTGTATAAATGTGTGTGTTTGTCTGTGTGTATATGCTTGCCTGTGCGTTTAAAGGGCAACCTCTTTATGCACGTATGCGTTGGTTTGTTAGTTTTTTGCTTGTTTTTTGTATTTGGTTGTGTGGGTGCACTGTTTTTGTACGGGCCTGTGAGTTTTTGTCTGTCTGTGTGTGTGTGTGTGTGTGTGTGTGTGTGTGTGTGTGTGTGTGAATAATGATGTCTCTTGTACGTGTAATGGTATTGTTTGCGTGTATGCTTGTAAATATTTGTTTTTGGTTGGTTAAGTTTTTTTATGTTCGGTTCAGAAACTAATTTTTGTTTGTTTTTAATGTTTATGTGTATGTGTGTGTATGTGAGTGTATGAGTGTATGCATGTGTGTGTTGTATGAAGATCTATGCATGCATGTGTGTGCGCGTTGTTATTTCTTGCTACAATGATGTGCTGCTATGTGAATTTCTATCATTCATCTGAGTTTGTATTGATATACTTGTATGTGTGTTTCTGTTTAAAATGTGTGTATGTGAGACATTTTATTGCCTATAATTTCGTTTTGTTTAGCTTGTGCGTGTGTGTGCATGTGCATTTGCTGTGTGTATGGATGTGTGTGCGTGTGTACGTGTGCCTACGGCGACCGTTCCATTCAGCGTGAATGTTGATTTATTTGCTTGGTCATGTGTTAATGTGCGTCTGCATGGTTGTACGCCTCGAAATCTGTCTATGTCTTTGTGTGTTTGCTTTAGTACCTTAGTTTGTGTGTTTGTCTGCGAGTCTGCGTTTGGTTGTTTTTGTCACTTAGTTCAGTGTTAGTTTGAATTTTTGTTCTATGAATGTATGAGTGTTTGTTCGCTTGCTTGGTTGTTTTAACAGTTTAGGTGAACGCCTATTTGTTTGTGTATTGTTTTTCGTATGTGTGGATTTGTTTGTTTTGAATCATTGTTTACATTCCTCTGTGTGAGTGTGTGTGTGTGTGTGTGTGTGTGTGTGTGTGTGTGTGTGTGTGTGTGTGTAAAGATTTATTCAGAAATGTTGTATATGTGGTGTGGTGTGTGTGATCTAGTTTTACGGGCATACTACAACCATGCGTATGTTTGCAAATGTGGGTGTGTGTGTGTGTGTGCTTTTGTATGTGCGTGCCTTTGTATGTGTCTTTGTATATGTGAGTGTATGTGTGATTTTGTACTTGCGCTGGTGTGTGTGTGAGGTGGTTTGCAATGTTATAAGGTCATGTTTATGTCCCGGGTTATTTGTTTAATCCTTAATGGCTGCCTCCCTCTATGTGCTTATGTGCGTTTTAAACCAGTATGTGTCTGATTGTGTTGGATGTGTGTGAGTGAACATGTGCGTGTGTGTGTGTGTAAGTGTCTGTGTGTGGTGTGTGTGTGTGTGAGTGTGTGTTCGATTGTCTATATGCTTCTGACGTTTGATGTTTTTATCTCTTATATTCAGTATTTATGTCCCCTTTTCATGCATTTATGTTTATGTTCACAAGTTTATTTGTATGTAGCTATGTGGGT